CAATTTCTTCCGACACGACTTACTACATCCTATGTAGACCCAGCCTTCTATGTAGACGAGGCTTAAGCCTTGTGTCCACGATCCAAGAACTGTGTCCAAGTTCTAGTTCCAAGAAATGCGTAGCCAATCACTTTGCGGCTTTTATGGAATAGCTGCAGGTTGATTGGCTACGCATTTCTTGGAACTAGAACTTGGACACAGTTCTTGGATCGTGGACACAAAAGGCTTTACGACTACGACTTTACGACTTTTATATAGACGAGGCTTTAGAAAATGCGTAATGAAATAGTTCCAAAAGTAAAAATGGGCGCAAGAGTGCGCAAAACAATCTCCCGAAACGGTGTCAAGTAAAACGCCCGCGTGGCCGCTCTCAGGTTTCTCTACGTCATGGTTAAGCTGGTCAGCCTGTGAGACGCTTGTGTTGCCGATCCATGACCGTCATTGATCACACTCTGCCGCCATCGTTGCTTCGGTCGGTGTCGTTCCTTCGCCGGGCGTTTCGCATTGACTTGTGTTTTACCCCTGAGAAGTCGTGAGAAAATATTGTAACTTACGTGGGATCTGCGTCGCGAAATCGCGTATTTCGCAGCGCTAAGAGACAATGAGTAATATATTCGGTCTCGAGGACGGTAAGTGAAGCAGAATAACGGAACCAAATTGAGGTTATGTACGAGTAAACTTTCGCAATGGCGTGGAAGGCGCAATTTTGAAACCTCGCGGTCTTCGTGCTCCGCAATATTCCGAGCACAGTGTGGCATTAATTCGGTTCGGAGAATAATTAGGGATGGACAGGGATTACCCGATTATTTAACATCGATGCCTTTTATCGACGCGACGAGGACCGAATTAATGCACCGTACCATACCCTTGATCGCATCCTCTTGTCCTTCTACCGACTTTTAAGGAAGTTCTAGGCCTGTCTTTCGACATTTATCTTCCGGTCTTTTTATTTATAAATTTTGCGAAATTTATACTCGATTAACACTTGTCCGAATGTCGGAGCGAATTCACTCGGCTTCACGTCAAAAGGTGAAAGTTTCACTGCTGGACGTGTCGACGAAATCTTGTGTAATGCAATGATATCATTAAATCGCGCCAACTAAAATGGATATTTATACAAACTAGATACTTTGTTATTTAAAAGTGTTATATCCAAACGATCGTGCATAAGATTTTACCGAAAGAGATAAAGGAGACAGTGACATTAATGAGACAAATTTTTAATACTTATTCAATAAAAGTATAATGCGAACAACTTTAATACAAGTAAACCTTCTATGAAAAGGTGGCCTTTTCTAATTTAATCGTTGAACACATTGGTCTTGATTCACGACATTATTGTTTATTAAAAAAAACTTGGCACTGCTTACCTCATAATACGGGTCTCTCTAACAAACAGGAGTGTGTCTTCGGGGAGGGTAGGCACTAAGACGCGCCATTTGTTAATTTTTCGGTGAGGAAAATAACGTTGTAGCACTAGAGCAGGATTCAAAGTAGATCTAGTGGATTTATGTGCTTGCCGCCGCATGGACGATGTCGCTACTTCGCTGGTTTGACTTTAAACAGCATAAACTTACCCAGGCCAAGCGATTGGACTCTGCTTAACTTGAAAAGTCCATACAAAAGAACCTCTGCCTATTCCAGATCAATACGACGAGGAGGATGCGGAGGAAATCTCGTCCAAGCTCTGGCAAGAAGCCTGCTGGATCCTCATCAATGCATACTTCGACGAGAAGGGTCTCGTGCGGCAGCAGCTGGACAGCTTCGACGAGTTCATCGAGATGTCCGTTCAGCGTATCGTCGAGGACTCGCCGCAGATCGAGCTGCAGGCGGAGGCGCAGCACACCACGGGCGAGATAGAGAAGCCCGTGAAGCACCTGCTGAAATTCGAGCAGATTTACCTGTCGAAGCCGACTCACTGGGAGAAGGACGGCGCGCCGTCCCCCATGATGCCCAACGAGGCCAGATTGAGGAATCTAACGTACTCCGCGCCGCTGTACGTGGACATCACCAAGACGATCGAGAAGGACGGCGAAGACCCCGTGGAGACGCAGCATCAGAAGACGTTCATCGGGAAGATACCGATTATGCTGAGATCCAAGTATTGCCTGCTCGCCGGTCTGTCCGACCGCGATCTGACGGAGCTGAACGAGTGCCCGCTGGATCCCGGCGGGTATTTCATTATCAACGGCTCGGAGAAGGTGCTGATAGCGCAGGAGAAAATGGCCACGAACACCGTTTACGTGTTCAGCATGAAGGACGGCAAGTACGCGTACAAGGCGGAGATCCGCTCCTGCCTGGAGCACAGCTCGCGCCCGACTTCGACTCTGTGGATCAACATGATGGCCAAGAGCGGCGCCAGCATCAAGAAGTCCGCTATAGGCCAGCGCATCATCGCCATTATTCCCTACATCAAGCAGGAGATCCCTATAATGGTGGTTTTCCGGGCGCTCGGCTTCGTGGCCGATCGCGACATCCTGGAGCACATTATCTACGACTTCGACGATCCCGAGATGATGGAGATGGTGAAGCCGTCCTTGGACGAGGCCTTCGTCATACAGGAGCAGAACGTCGCGTTGAATTTCATCGGCACCAGAGGCGCGAAGCCGGGAGTGACCAAGGAGAAGCGGATCAAGTACGCTCGGGAGATCCTGCAGAAGGAGATGCTGCCGCATGTCGGCATAAGCGACTTTTGCGAGACCAAGAAAGCCTATTTCCTTGGCTACATGGTCCACAGATTACTCTCGGCGTCCCTGGGACGCAGAGAACTGGACGATCGCGATCATTACGGTAATAAGAGGCTGGACCTGGCCGGGCCGCTGCTGGCGTTCCTGTTCCGAGGTCTGTTCAAGAACCTGATGAAGGAGGTGCGTCTGTACGCGCAGAAGTTCATCGATCGGGGAAAGGACTTCAATCTTGAGCTGGCTATCAAGACGAAGATCATCACGGACGGGCTGAGATACTCGCTCGCCACAGGCAACTGGGGCGACCAGAAGAAGGCGCACCAGGCGAGGGCGGGGGTGTCGCAGGTGCTCAACAGATTGACCTTCGCGTCGACGCTGTCGCACTTGAGGCGAGTCAACTCGCCCATCGGGAGGGACGGCAAGCTCGCCAAGCCGCGTCAGTTGCACAACACGCTGTGGGGTATGCTCTGCCCCGCGGAGACCCCCGAGGGCGCCGCGGTAGGGCTGGTGAAGAATCTAGCCCTGATGGCGTACATAAGCGTCGGCTCGCAGCCCTCGCCCATCCTCGAGTTCTTGGAGGAGTGGTCCATGGAGAATCTCGAGGAGATCGCGCCGAGCGCGATCGCCGATGCCACCAAGATATTCGTCAACGGATGCTGGGTCGGCATCCACCGCGACCCGGACCAGCTGATGGCCACCTTGCGCAAATTGCGGCGGCAGATGGACATCATCGTGTCGGAGGTGTCGATGGTGCGCGATATCAGGGACCGCGAGATAAGGATATACACGGATGCCGGCAGGATCAGCAGACCTCTGCTCATAGTGGAGAATCAAAACTTGTTGCTGAAGAAGAGGCATATTAACATGTTGAAGGAGAGGGACTACAACAATGACGGGTAAGCGTCTCTCGGGTGTGCTCGCTTTCGGTTCGTTCTCACTTTTACCAACGACTTGTGTCGCGTTTGCAGGTGGCAGGAACTAGTGGGTAGCGGAGTGGTAGAGTACATAGACACCCTGGAGGAGGAAACCGTCATGATAGCCATGTCGCCCGATGATCTCAGACAGGAGAAAGAGTACGCGTATTGCACGACGTACACGCACTGCGAGATTCATCCTGCGATGATCTTGGGCGTGTGCGCCTCCATTATACCGTTCCCCGATCACAATCAGAGCCCTAGGAACACGTATCAGGTATCGCGCGTGCATCTCAGTCGCTGCGTTCTTCCTCGTGCCGTTCGCGTCTTCGAGTCGGGTCTGACGAGAGTTTATTTTTCAGAGCGCTATGGGTAAACAAGCCATGGGCGTGTACATCACCAATTTCCACGTGCGCATGGACACTCTGGCTCACGTGCTCTATTATCCCCACAAGCCGCTGGTCACCACGCGGTCCATGGAGTACCTGAGGTTCCGTGAGTTACCGGCCGGCATCAACAGCATCGTCGCGATCCTGTGTTACACGGGATACAATCAGGAGGACAGCGTTATTCTCAACGCGAGCGCCGTCGAGAGGGGCTTCTTCAGATCGGTGTTTTATCGCTCCTACAAGGAGTCCGAGTCGAAGAAGATCGGCGACCAGGAGGAGCAATTCGAGAAACCGTCGCGCCTGACCTGCCAGGGGATGCGCAACGCTATATACGACAAGTTGGACGATGACGGGATCATCGCGCCTGGAATTCGAGTGTCGGGTGACGACGTGATCATAGGAAAGACGATTACTCTGCCGGAAACGGATGACGAGGTAAAACAATTGTCTTTCAGTTATCCCTTGACAAGTAGTCTTTAAGGGGAAGGTACACTATTCAAGCCTCAAGAAATGGGTGATTTAACAAAAATTTTTTGATACGTAAATACCAACCAAAAATAATGCTTTTTTAAAAATAAAGCCTGAAGTTTATACAATACATAACAATTTTTGTCAAACATTTTATTGGTATTAAGACTGGAAAGCAGCACATCGTAGCTAGTGTTGTACGAAATACACTGGTTGACAGGATTTCGGCTACAATTGTTATCCAAAATAAATGAAAACGACAGTGCTTATTAAACTACGTAGCATTGAAAGTATAATTTTTTATACTTCAAACTGCACTTAAAAAACATTTCATTTTAATAGTGTTATCCTCCTGATGAAGTGAGAATAACGTACTTTATTCCTTTCCGTTCACCTTGCAGCTGGACAGCACGACGAAACGTTTTACGAAGCGCGACGCGTCGACTTTCTTACGGAACAGCGAGACCGGTATAGTCGATCAAGTGATGTTGACGTTGAACAGCGAGGGATACAAATTCTGCAAGATCCGAGTGCGCAGCGTACGTATACCGCAGATCGGCGACAAATTTGCGTCGCGCCACGGGCAGAAAGGTACATGTGGAATTCAGTACAGGCAGGAGGACATGCCGTTCTCCTGCGAGGGTCTCACTCCCGACATCATCATCAATCCTCACGCTATCCCTTCTCGTATGACTATCGGTCACTTGATAGAGTGCATTCAAGGAAAAGTTTCGGCTAATAAAGGTAATACGGCGACTCGCGTAGGCTTAACACAGAGGTGTCGTTAACAGCCCGATGCGTTTTCAGGAGAGATCGGTGACGCCACGCCGTTTAACGACGCCGTGAACGTGCAAAAAATCTCGACGCTTCTGCAGGAGTACGGTTACCAATTGCGAGGAAACGAGGTGATGTACAACGGACACACGGGTCGTAAGATCAACGCGCAGGTCTTTCTGGGGCCGACGTATTATCAACGTTTGAAACACATGGTGGACGACAAGATCCACAGCCGAGCGAGAGGACCTGTGCAAATTTTAGTCAGACAACCTATGGAGGGTCGAGCGAGGTGATTATGCGCTATTATTTTTATTATTTTAATATTACCTGCCGTTAATCCAAATATACGTATTATAAATGTCTGCATTTATTTAGGGATGGTGGACTTCGTTTCGGAGAAATGGAACGGGATTGTCAAATTTCTCATGGCGCGGCGCAGTTTCTGCGAGAACGTCTATTCGAGGTGTCAGATCCATACAGAATTCATGTATGTAATTTCTGCGGTTTTATCGCTATAGCGAATCTGCGGAACAACACCTTCGAATGCAAGGGATGCAAAAACAAGACGCAAATCTCGCAAGTAAGACTGCCGTATGCGGCCAAGTTGCTCTTCCAGGAATTAATGGCAATGAATATCGCGCCTAGACTCATGATACACTGAGTAGTTTGTAAATAATTTATTTTATATAAAATATCAACTTATCAATGTGTATATACAGATTACATACCGTATTATCATACAATAAAACAGATTGATAAACAATTTTTCACAAGTTTCTGACGTTTAGAACTAGCAAGTATTTGTTAATACCAAAATGTAGTAATCTTTATATATATGTCAAAGGCAATATTGCTCGAGGTTATTAAAGTTTTGTGATAATAAAATTAATTTGGTTTTTATTCTACAGTTATTGTTCTCGCAAAAAATTGACCTTTCCGTTCATTCGCACATACGTGTCAACTTTATGAGAACAACGTGCGTAGTTTGCGTGTGAAAATGAGTTTACGTAAAATGATTCAAATGAAACTTTGAATGTTTTCTCTTAAAAACTGTATTAAAAAAGAAATTGATACAAATAAGAATTATTCAAAATAATGCACATCATCTGGATATTAATTAGAATCATTAGGATTTCTCACAAGACACACATCTAGAACGCAGAATCGTGCTCTGCAGAGCGGACAGGTACATTTGGAGGACAGCCACGTTTCCAGTGCATTTTCGTCTTGTCTCGAGGCAAACCTGTTTCAAGTAAAATAATACCATTAACAATAACAATGATATCTGTGAAGACGATTCAGTACAAGTACGAATAATCAAGAACAATCGTAATAAAAATTTACTCACCATTTTGCCATGCATTCTATACACCACATTGGACGGCAATAACACGTCGTGCAGCCGTCCAGGTCTCCAGATTCGGCGTTGCTGCACAATCTGTTCAACTTAACATTCGACGACGCTTGCATGCATCCGATACATTGACCCAACTCCTACATACGTATGAATCAATAGTTGAGGATAAACAGGCGAGAGGGGAAATGAAAGTAATTTGATACGCTTGATACCTCAGCAGTGTCGTAGAACGGATTTTTATCGACCTCTTCTTTGAAAGTGTCGATAAACCTGTCGAGCAAGGTTCTGTGGAACGTGATGTTGTGCAGTACGGCGATCGGCCGTGAAATCTTGTCCTGCAAGTCCTTGAAATCCAGCGCGTTCAATCTTATGTCAAACTCCTGCGCCATCGCCCGCATGGGTTTCACCTGGAAAACGACACGTGGACAATCGGGGGGGGGGGGGGGGCTGCGATCTGCGAGCAATTATCGCCAATACCTGTATATTGATAAACTGAACTTGGTCTCTCGTCGAGGGCGACATGAAGTGGACGTCGCTCTTATTCACGACCAGGGTCGCGTCGCTTTGATGCGCCACTTGCAATTTATAGGGCGTGATCTTAATGACCCAATTGTCCGTCGCTACGACACGAATTACGCTATTTGTGACAATGACAATTTTATCTATTCTAAAACAAAATCGTGCCATTTCAGTACAAACACGTATACTTGCAAATCACGATAGACTCGAGTTCCCGAGTGTTAAGCCAGATATCTGAATAAACCTTCGATACTCCGTGTTAATGTCCGAGGCGACGGACGTCCACGGCGTGTTGTTATTGCAATACACGGATAGGTTTTGCGCTATCGGATGCGTGGCCCAATTGTGCGCGGACCACTCGAGGACCTTGTTCAGCATGTAAAGCGGGGCCATCGTCACGCAAAGGAGGATTAGCGGTCCGAGATAATTCCCATCGGCTAGCAGCAGCTTACCAGCGTCTAGATGATCGAACAAGAGCAATCCAAGAACGTAGCCTGTACAAGGGAAGAATCGAAGGCTTGTAAAAGTGATGCGGAGCGGAGACGATTGGGTGTAACCCAGAGAGGAAAGGAAGCACGTCTGTTACCCAGAGGTAGCGCGGAATGCAGAAGTAACGTGGCTACGCTTCTCCTGATGTGGTACTGTATGAAAAACTCATTCTCGCTGCCGAGCCAATTGGCAAAGACGTCCTTGACGGTGAGTCCCGCCGAGACAAACTCCGTCGGCGGATAGATTATACATCCGGACATGAGAAGATAAAACAAAGTGTAGAAAAGTAGAGCTGACATTTTTTTCTCATTTGCAGAGAGGGAGAGAGAGAGAGAGGGGGGCACTTGTCGTTCGACAACAGCGTAGCGGCGATCTGGAATAATTTCGTAAATTATCTTAGCACTCCGCTCAACTCCTTGTAACGATAACAATTGCGACGGATTACATTCAGCGTGGTTGCAGCTGCCCCTTCATGACTGCTCGTGGAAACCGGCGGATGCGGTTTTCAGCCTTGATTTCAACAGCGAATATATCTGTTTATTTATTGGAGCTCTACGTATATTTATCGGGGAATCACAGATCGAGGGTTAGATCTTTCTAGTTCGATGTGGAACAAGTGTCGGTAATACAGGCACCGACTTTTTGCCATAAGAGCTGGAATACCGACCGCAACTCCGATTAACCGAAGGACGTACGGATAGATGGCACTTGAATCAACCGCGATGTGGGTTGGGGGGGTAGAGGCAAGTTAAAAACTCGTTTTTTAATTACAGACATTGCACGAAGAAAAGGGATTATGTGTAGCTCTGTGCTAAGTACATACACGAGTGATTAGTAATGGTAGAGCATGGTAGGGTCTTCGGTTCGATCCTGGCCCTCGTCCCGCATATTTTTCCGTTAAAGATAATTTCAAGATTTAGCGATTGAAGGAATTTAAGGAAACCGGCGCGAAAGAAATATTTTCAGATATTCTGTTCTGCGAAAACGTCCCAGAAATAATTTTGCGATGTAACGTAAGATGTTGATATATTTAAAAAATCTTGTAAAATATCTTAAAAATTAGAGGGGTATACTTTAAGTCACCAATGATGAATAAATAAGATTAGGACTTTAGTTGATCCAACTGGCAATATATTTGATAGAGTGTTACATTAGATGCGACGTTTCGACCCAGGAATCAGGGTCGAAACGTCGCCTCTAATGTAACACTCTATCAAATATATTGCCAGTTGGATCAACTAAAGTCCTAATCTTATCTTAAAAATCTTTCAAAACAATATTTTACTGGAATCTTTTTCACTGGTTTCGTCTGGGCTTTTAGAAATATTTTTCAAATGTTTTTCGTATAATTTCAGAAATATTTTATCTTTTAAAAGAATATTTTTGCAACATTTAAAAAATGTTCGAGTGCTATTAGGGTGGGTGTAAATCCGACTGTGCATTTTTCTAAGCCTAATACACGAGAAAGAAGAAGAAGAGTGCATTTTGTAATTCTCTATATTTGCTCTAATATTTTTCTTCTTGAATTCATAAAGTGTACCTCTGTTGAAATGAATAATTTAAGAAGTTGCCTGGAGTCTTGTCTACACAGGAGACAGAGAAAGAGGGGGAAAGGGGAGAAGATATACAGTGGCACACCTAGGCTGCGGTCCACTTGATACTACAAATGCTTCGAGGTATTCTTCTTCTCCTCCTCCTTTCTTTTATTAAAGAAAGAAGAAAAAGAAGAAGGAGATTAATGCTTTGAAGCATTCGTAGCATCTAGTGGCTTGCAGCCCTAAGCTGGTACGTATCGTGGCAAACTGGTATTTCGCCAGCCAGCAATCGTGCAAATCGATGCTCCAATAATTCAATGCTGTTCAAACTAACGGAATGCCGTTACCGTCTTCAATCATCAGCGCGGTGGTCGCTGGCGAAGCATCGTGTTAATTGACATTAAGGACTTGGGCTTGACAAGCCCGCCTCCAGTTCATCCGGCAAGAAATAAAAATACTTCCGAGATGTAGGCAAGTGATCAGATCGTGGAAAGATCTGTCATAGTTGCGACTCCTGATCGTGAAATTCCAGCACAAACTCGTCAATTTACGACATCGCGAGCGAGAAATCCAAAAAAAGAAAGGCACGATTTTACTCGCGCCACATCGTTGAGATAAATTACTTTTCTCGCGCTCGATCACGCGTGCTCGTGACAGTGAAGATTGATCAAGCACACCGAGGACTTTCATCTCTTCAATTCACGATTTAATAAATTTATTGGTATGTCGACTGTTGCCGTGCAATTAGTTATAACTTTGTTCCCGACGTCATTTTTAGATCAGTATTTGAATATACTATACTTGTTAATGTGTTACATTTAAAAGTGCTCGATATGTCCACCATTATTTTTTCAAGACATTTTAAATTTAAAACAATGTCTCGAGAACATGGCAAATCGAGAACGGGAAGGTGTCGCAGAGACATCGTATGGACGTCCTTCGAATAATTCCATGAGATATAACTTCAGTACATCAGATAACTCGCCGAGACGTCGTAAAGTGTTTCCCGGAGAAACTGTAATCTCGGCCCGGCCGATCGGGAGAGATGTTTCAAAAGCGAAACATGCAAAAGAGGTGTGAGCAAGGCGCAACGCGGCGTCTTCAAAAGCGAGGAAATTCAGTGAAAGAGTCACTTGTCCAGTGACAGTATTTTCGGGGTCAGTAGACCGCGCGGTTACTCGCGCGCGCGCGCGACGGATCCGCCGTAAACCTTAAATCGCTATTTATGACTATCCCAGCGTGTCTTTTTGTGTAGATGCTCAGCGGCGTAGGCTGTTCCCTCTTGCCGAGGAACAAACGTGGCCGATCTCGTTGCCGCTATCAGGTCGACTCGCGCGACAACGAGAACGACAATTAACGACGTTGTCGTCTTCGGGGGGCCATCTTATGGCGTCTACCTCCCCAAAGATATACCTACCCCTATTTATTATTATGGAGGTTGTGCTGGTTTCGCATTCGCCTACGCCGACCCAGTGAGAAATGATTCGTCGGTGCGTCGAAACAATATCGAATCGTTTTCAAACTGATGTCGAATCCGACGTCAATTCGACGGTATTGATGTCGATTCGACATCGATCGACGAGTCATTTCTCGCTGGGGGTCGTTTGGCACCCGGTAACAGTGGGGAATTTGTTTAATTATTTGCTAAAGGGGTCTTTGGAGAGATGTGGTCACTCGATCTGCACAAGAATCTACCAAGCCATCGAGTGAGATACCAAGCATCGCTCTGGTATCGCGCTGCTAGCACAGTATTCTTCCTTTATTCAATAAAATGGAGTAGGCAAGCGAAAGGGTTACCGAGCCTGGATAGGCTGAGTGTAACCCCGAAGCTCGAGTCCCGAAGAGGTTGAGCTTTGTCCTTGGATGCTGGGAGGTTTCTCTTAAACCCGGTGAGAAATAATATCATTTCTCGCTGAGAAAGGTTCTCGTCTCTTCGCGCGAGACTATACGATAAGCAACCTCGAGCTCCTCCTAGAATTTTCAAAACGTTCGGAAGATTTGCGCCGCTCCGGATGACGCGAGCGCTCTCGAGGCTCTCTCCGCTTCAGGACTAACAGAGTCGGCAGCCAGGCGGCTACGTCACTGGCGGGGTCCTCGTGACACAGATCAGCGGCGGCAACTATAACGGTACCCGCCGGCGTGACCTACTCTTGAGTCGCGCGCTCTCTCGGTCCTTCCTTATTTGTCCTCTCTTCATTTCACGTCTTTCTCGCGAACTCTCCTTTCGTCCAGGGCCGAATGTCCAACAGGGTCTGCGTGTGACGCGTGCGTTCGGTCATCATGCGAATGGCCGATATCCCGTTCTCGTACACTTCTCTATCCTCGACAGAGAGAAGATTCGTCGTCTCTCTATTAGTAGAAAACCAAGATCAAACAGGGGTCGGTTTACCCTTTAGAGAGCCATCATCGTGACGTTGCTCTAAGATCAATCCCGCCCTTTTCCCAGCGGTTATCTAAAGAAGATCACCCTTGTTCGAATGGGCCACTTCCCCAGGTGGAACATAAAACTCATAATAATATCACGATGACGTCGTTGTAACTTACTCATCATTTAAAAGTTATATTAACGTCGTCTTAATGTCACTTTAACGCCATCATGACCTGGGCTCCGCGAAACCATCGGACCGACTTCTCTCCTCGTCACATTCCCGCTCGGCCAGGAATCTGAAGAGCCAGGACGTGGGCGAGGCGAGACGGTCGGCCGCCACTGCCGCGTGTATAGCATCTTCTCTCCCGTACGCCGGCGGGCTACACTTTTTCTTCCACGTGAGGAGCATCGTCACGGGTCGCCTCGTCGCATGGGCGGACGGTCGACCGGGCCGCGGCTGATTACGGGCAGTAATGAAAGCGGCCTGCTTGCACGCGGTAGGTAGGCAGGTGCGCGCCGCCGTCTGTCATGTAGCCTTTTCTCCGTCGTTTCCGTCGCACGTTTTCTGCCGCATCCTCTACGCCGAGGTCGTCAATGAGAGCCGACAACCGCTGCCGCCGTTGCTCCTCTTCTTCTTCCTCTTCTTCTTCTTCGCGCGCCCCAACAGGGTGATCACGAGTGTGGGAGCACGCAAGGAGCAGTTTGAGTGTTATTCGTGACCGCCGTCACGGATTCCGCGGGTCCAGCCGCTGGACCAGCGAGTCCTCCCTCCGCGAGTTATGAAAGCGATCGCACCCTTTGTTCTTCAGGTGAGCGTTCTTCAAGCGTTCTCTTCGCGGTGAATATATCCCTTGTTCCGTTCCTCGCGAGTGAACGGAGGAGTGTCGTACTTGTGAGAAACGAATGAGTTGGGGGAGAAAACGCGGTAAATATGTATGCCAGGAAAATAATTATCCAATCTTTGAAAATGTGAATTTTGCCGCCCTCTGACTATTCTGTTTCTTCGTTCCTATCTCTGTTCCCAATTGTATACCATTTGAACTGGAACAATTACTAAATGTGGAGTACGAGACTTGCGGGAGATATCGATGCGTTTAGTTCAAAGTATGAGCTTTTGTATAAACAAGCTCGCATGTCCGCAATTGTCCTCAACTGATTTAATTCTTCCTGAAATATATTGTCGCATTTATATTGGAAACCTGATAAAATTATAAGCTCATAGAAGTATAACTTCATCATAAAAATAATAAGGATAAAGGTATCTTGAAAAATACCGAATTAACTTTAAGTAGTACGCAGTTATAAAGTATATAACAAAAACCACAGAATCTAAAATACAATATTTTTTATATATATTTTCATCTGTCATTTTGACAATAATAATTTAGAATTAAATAGAAGCGTTAGCTTTAAAAAATTATTTTATTTGCTTATATTTCAAAATTAAAATGTATAAAATATGTTCTAGACTTTCGCGTTTAATAATTTCGAGGAGAATCAAATTGATTCCAGACAGTTTCCAGATAGCACACAGATAAAACGTGAGTTCACAGAGAATTTATGTTAAAGAATTTCTACAAAATGAGAAAAATGAATATATTTTAAAGAATTCTTAAAGGATCAGCCACAGTTTATCTTGAAATATTCCTCAGAGGTTCAGTATATGGTGCAGATAACTTCTTCAATCATTCTTATCTTATTCTTGTGCGAATTCCTAAAGAATTACAATTCAGGCAAGAAGAAAACTTGAAGAATACTTTGCGAACTCACTATCTGGGTTGTGACATGTTTCTTGTTGGTTACATGCTCCAAACTTCAGACGCATTCAACGGTGTCTTCCACAAACTGTTTCGTATTCCACATTTGGCAATTACCTCAGTTCTCCGATAGCCAAGTAGTAGAAACGTTGTACAATAAAACATAAATTGATGAAGATTTCGCAAAGGTTGTGCCAAGGCGATTTGTAATAACGCAGCAGTTTTGTCAGAATGAAAATTTTAAATATCTGTGAAAAATGAGATCAGTCCAATTTTTTTTAATAGAAATATTTTAAAATAATTTTGAATGTGTATAATATTTCACGTTGCAATATTTCATAAGTTGGAGATAATTATATTTTTATAAGCATATATATGCTAAAATATATGCTAACACAACTGAAATATTTCTCTCAATTATTGGACAATTTCTTTTCCAAAATTTCATTTTGCAAATATACAGTAAAATTACAAAAATACGAACGTTTTGACGTTCGGATTCATCTTCAGCGCAATTGATATAACCGTGAAAATAATAAAATAAAACAGTTAAGGGTGATTGTCAGCAGTTACAAATTAAAAATAGAGTAGGTCTAAGCGTAATGAATGATTCGTCGTTCCATCTTAAGCATTATGATGCTGACACGTTGCAAACAATTTGTCGTTATTGGAATTAGAAGTCATATGAGCTCAACTGAAGAGACGTAATGCTACCTCACCTTGTTCCGAGTTTGTTACAAGTGTTTCAAGGATTTCGGCAACATGTCGGCAAACTTATATCATTTGGCTATCTGGGATATATATTTTTTTCATTACCGACACTTTTGTAAAAGTAATGAGCTAGGGATAGAGAGAAATAAGAAAGGGACTTTATTGTCTATTTTAACGTCAATCTCTTATTCGAAAGATTACAGATGTTCCCACTGGAACACTTGTCAATTCTTCCCCAGCCACTTCTCTCAATCGTCCCGTTAATATCTTTTTCCGTGAAGCTCCGATCGAATTCATGACAGACGGCCATTACGTCGTAAATTAGTTGATTCTCGTGTTGCAGGTGATTGCATTGCAACTGACGAGATGCCAGGGCGGCGGCGGCGGCGGCGGCGGGCCGAGCACGTTCGGATACGACGCCTCCTCGGCCTGCAGCAAACCGTACTCGCGCGCGGGCCGTGCGCACCACGAGGACCTACCCTGTGACTTTCGCCAACAGAACTGGTGCACGATCGCCGGTAGCTCTTATCCTTGGTACTTCGTCTCATTTGCGCTTCGTCTCTTCCGTTCGTGGCGATCTCTCCTCGAGACTTTCGCCCGCCCGACATTCGTACGCTCACGCGCGCTCGATTTGTCCGCGGCGAAAGTTTCGGTGTGCCGTCAGTCGGTCAAGTAATCGAATCCAAGCCGACCAAAAAGTCTTACAGCTAATTTTTATTAGTATTGCAACTAACGTTTGTCTGTAAAATACGTGAGATAATTTGTTTTAAAGAAACGAAAGGGGTTTGACAATTGTATGGACAGAGTACTGCTGAAACTTACGGATGTTTTGTAAGAAGATTAAAATAAATTAATAAATTAGTGTCCGTAGTGTCAAAAATAAAACGCTTTTGTCAGATATAAAAAAAAGTCTAATGTCCGTACATTAGCAGTATTTTCAGCAAAGTATTTTCCCCTTCTCTTTTTTCTATTGAACGTTTAATATTAGTAACGAAATTTCGTTCTCAACTTTGTCCAGGCAATTAATTTCTCTTTTGTTGCACTTTGTAAGAATTAGAACGGGTGAAAAAATAAGACAACGAATTCTACGTAAGAAAGATCGAATTTTACAAATGAAAAATAACGCGAGATTCTCATTTTCGAGTAGTTATCAGAAACTCTCAATATCTCGGTTGTTAATTACTTGAAATGAAACGTATTTTCTACATATTCTTAAAGCTCCTTAAAGGAAGACTCGCACCGTCTTGTCCACTTTGTCAGCACAGAGTTATGTTTCTGCTGCTCATTCGCAGGCACGCGGTACGTCGGTTCGTGCAAGAGAATCAGGGGTTGATGAGACGCATGTACGGCGATGAGAATTACATCAGTGTCCTCCGAGCGGAGTTCGAGAGAAACGACATCGAGCTAAAGTACGACGAGTACCATCATCACTACGCCGATGATCTGAGGTAGCTTTCTCACGATTCCTTCCGGCGATATGTTTTATTATCAGTCATTCCTCGCTTTAATTTTGTTTTGTATATAGGAGCTTTATTTACATTTCCTATTTATACATAAAAATTAGCTACTCGTTAATAATAAAACTTTATAATTATTCCATTATATTATAGATCTATAATAAAGTTTTATACGCATGGGTTGCGCCTCGTGATTTCCAGACAATTCCAGTATGACGATGATTATGAATTCATCGACGACGATCGGGCGAAGGTCGACGGATACGAAGGCCGCGGATTTACCAGCCGCTCCTTCAACGATCCCATCGCCAAGCGAATGAATAAGTTCTCGAAGCTCAGCGAGTACACCAGGCCACATTTCAGGCCCACCGAACGGACCACCAGTTCGACCACCCCTCCGAGTACGACGACTACCTCTTCAACTTCGTCCTCGACGTCGACCAGGTTCACGACTGTCGTTACGTCGTCCTCAACGACGCCTGCGTCTACCAGCACGGAGCAGGTCAATGCTCAAACCCCTGTAACGTCAACTTCTCCAAAGTTTTTGAACACTACTGTCAAGGTTGCTGATCCTGCGACGAATGGCACGACGACGACCACAACGACGACGACGACTACGACAATGAGAACAACTACATCAACATTGCCAAGCGTTACCTTGGTTCATATAGTCAAAGAACAGAATTTTAGCATCAACGAAATTCCCGGACAGAACGATAGGATCGACGTGGACTTGGAGGAGCCAGAAGCAGAAGTGGCAGCGTATTCAGAGAAAATGATCGAAGAGTACACAACGTTGGAACCAGCCGAAGCGACGACGAGCGCCCCTAAGGAATCGCTAGTCGATCAGCAAGAGGAGGAGGAAGAAGCGTTTGGCGCTGCAACGAAGACTACAGTACATGAAGAACTAGTAGCTGCAGCGAGTTATGAGCAACAGCAACAGTTCAGGCCACGTCCTGAGTATCGGCCATCGGGCGTGGCTGAGACATCGGCAAGTACGGGAGGCCAGCTTTTCCAAGATGTCGCAGCAAAGGACCAACAGGAGCAGCCGGTGCTGAAGCTTAGAGGAGTGTGAGTAGAGGAGTGTGTGTTAGTCTGACCCAATCTACCACCATTTTTCGTAGGAGTCCTCTTGTATCAGACACCCTGTATAATTAAAATTTTTTATTCTGACAAAACTGCCGCCCTATGGCGAATCATCTTAACGCAACTTTTGCGAAATTTTCTTCAATTTATGACGTCATTGTTGTATAAAGTTTCTACAATTTTCCTATCGGGAGCAGAATATGTAAAATAGAACTGAAATGAGAAATTTCAGAGGATTAATTAAATTGTTTCTGCACAGGAATGCTTGTCCTGTCAAGGAAGAAGTGGTGGCGCCGTTCTGGGCTAATAATACTCGCGGAGAAGTCTTGGCTCTCCTCAATCTTTACCCCTTCGAGCAGTATGTCCATTGGGAGAAGTGCACGTAAGCTTCATTAATCCTGAAATGCCAGAATTTGCGTTTACAAAATTAAGGAATCAAATTAATCCTATGTACATGATGTGAACAATTGTTTTAAAATTATAATGTAAAAATACTTATAATAATAAAATTTCAGAATAAAATCAAACGAGAAATACAAGAATTTGCTATTAAAAAATTAAGAAAGAAGAAAATATAAATTAATGTCTATAATTTAATTTATATCTCTCAGGCTGAGAAGTCCAGCTAGCACAGTAAACTTGCAAAGTATTCTTTAAGTTTTCTGTCTTTCTGAATTGTAATTCTTCAGGAATTCATAGAAGAACGCAATAAGAACGATTGGGGAAGTTGCATGTACCATAATAAACTTCTGACGAATACTTCAAGACAAACTGATTGTGGCTGACTCTTCAAGAATTCTTCAGATATTCAGTTTTCTAATTCTGCAGGCATTCTTTAAAATGAATTCTTTATGAACTTACGTTCTCCCAGATAGCACAAAGGTGAACGTAAAGTTTATGGAGAATTCGTTTTAAAGAATACTTATAGAATTAGAAACGAGGAAGTCGCATAGAAATTTTATGTAATTCCTCAATTATCTTGTTCTTCTATGAATTGCTACACAGCGAGAAGTGACTCGTCGATCGACGTTGTCATTTCTCGCTAGGTAAAGAATTACAATTTAGAAAAAGAGAAAACTTGAAGAACTACTGCAAATCCGCTACGCTAGCTGAGAAAAATCGCAAAACAATCTTATATTAATTATGTTCTTATCTTATTTTCATTCTCTTCTCTTGTTTCTGAATCTCCAATTCTGTTGCAGGCACGAGAACAAGCAGATGTATTGCCGGGATGGATGCAGATGCGAGCAGCAGTATCGGCTGCATCGGCTGCTGGCTTACGATCCCAACAACGAATGTCGCGGTATTTTCAGCGACTGGTTCAAGTTTCCCAGTTGCTGCGTCTGCCGTTGTTATGATCTGCCATTGGAATTTCGGATGACGTCGCGCTCGCCGCGCACCTCGCACAAACGACGAATCAAGGTGCAATCGCCAACGCGGAACCGTTATCCGTGATCTGATTGTCTTCTGGCTGGCCGGCCGCCAAATAATGCAGCGTGTAAGTTGAGGGCAACCCACTAGATGAGGATCCTACGCGAAATTCTTAACGAGTGCAGTACAAATCATTTTTAATTAAAGAGCCTCTCTATTTAATTCAGAGATTCTAGGTTTATTGTTAACGTTTAATATCTCTTTTATGTATGTTTAACAAACATGTTTTCTATTTAATATATTGAAATTATATACATGTTACATATTGATAGTAGTATATAGAGAGAGATGCGTATTTATAGATATTATATGTAAAGTATATTTACGTATTGTTGAGGTTGTTTAATATTTCTTAATAAATTAACACAGCAATGATATATTCGAAAGATGTCCGATGTTACTTAAATACTTTCCGAGGAAAGTGTGATTAAATTTTGACACTAGTTTGTACTGTGCGCATATGGATGGCAGATAAAAGATCTTCTCTTAGAAAATTTTCGTTTGCCATATCGAAATAATTTGTATAGAGTTTTGTCAGTCCAACATAATATTACTTGTAATAAGTAAAATGTACAATGAGATAACGAACTAGGATAATTATCCTCGTTTAGAGAAATTCATACTATTTAATATACATGTAATGGTTTATATTATATTTAACGATCCATATTTTATTTATCACGATGGCGATATGAACCTAAACGCATTGAAATGGTGTAGGCTTTCTCTTGACATGATTATTGCATATTTAAAACAATAACAAGAGGAAAGCGTAAATTAAAATAATTTAAGAAATAATGAAGTCGTCACGTATTTCTGATAAATGACATTAATCAATATTTATATATACATGGTGTCTGATAAAAAAGTAGCCAATTTGAAAATAGTGTCAAATTGCGTTAAACTAGGAAGAAAAATCATATGCCGCGTTGCAAAATTCGCAATAGTTATCGAGTAATTCTATCTACCGTGTACTACATACTCATTCGCTCAGACATGTAGATAAATGAATTACTCGATAACTATTACGAATTTTGCAACGCGGCACGTGACTTTTCTTCTTAGTTTAACCCAATCCACCACCCTTTTCTAATTGGCTACTATTTTATCAGACATCCTGTATATATCATATATCTATAAATTACTTTAAATTACTAATATATATGTATATATGTTAGTAATTTAAAGAGATTATGTATATACTTATTCTAATTATATATATACACACATATACATATGTAAAGCGATTATCACAGCAAATATAACTCCATCATACAAAATTATACATACGTACTGTAATAGGTGTTGCGAATATTATGACACCATATATGTATCTGAACGAAAAAAAAATATATATTCGACATAATTCTATTGCAAGTAAAGGCTCGTGAATAAAATATACGCCATTTTTATAACTGCTAATACTCTTTTCTTCTATTTTCATATTCATTATTTGCACCAGACATATTGTCGATAATATTATATGCAGGGTTGGGTAAGTTATCTATTTTTGTTTTAACTAAGTTAAATTAAAGTTAACAGCTTTGAAAATTTAACTTAGTTAAGATACAAGTTAATATAATGAAATTAATTGAATTAAAAGTTAATAATAAAAAGAAATTAAAACGTTAAAATTGTTAAATTCCTTTTATTTTGGACACAAAATCTTGGGAGTCTCACGATCACGTAAATTGCTTTAAATTTCACGATCAGCGTTTGATTTTGAGAGCCAATGATACTAGAGTCTAGAGTCCTAGAAAAAAATATAGAAATTTTAGACTTCTAATTTTTCCTGGCAAAACAAAATTAGAGCGCAAGTCTAATGTAAGGAAATATGGAAAGAATGATAGAAGCATAAACGAAACTTCTAGGAAGTCTAAATTCAAACAGCGTTATATAAAAGACGAGTTAACTTCTTAAAACGCTTTTTTCTAGCAACAGTCCACTCCAGACAGCTATTTATGTGGTCCTGTGTAATTAAGTTAGTGGGTCACTGACAGAATTCACCAATAAATTTTCTGTGTTAAGAACACATCGCCAGTCATGGTCGATCAACTGCTTAATCATGGTTATTTATCTGCTGGCGTGAAATGATTCTCGAAGAATTCAGCACGTTTTCGTTATATTCAACTTTATTTTTCTTGCTCCCTTTACATGTCTCAGACAATATTGTATGTACGTTCTTAAAAGGAAGAAGATTCACAAACAGCAACGATCCTTAAAACGTTAATACTTCTGTTTTTTTTCATGTTTTATTTTGGGTATTCGCGTAGCGCTGAATGCAGCTCAACAATAATTATCCGATTATCTTGTCATACATTCATTACATGGTATTACAAACGTTATACTTTTCATATCCCGTCGTAATATGTATGTACATATTATATTATAATACATATACAGGATGAGTCTGTGTGTATTTCGGATCCGATCAATGCGCGACCCTCTGTATGCCTACGCGTATCGTGGAATACACGCGTTTTACGTATAATATGCATTTGTGTAATAACGTTACATATGCAGAAATGTAAGTATATTTATTAATACCAGCTAAAACATTTGGTATCAAAACCATTGCAGGAAGAAGAAAATAAAACGTCCTCGAAAAGTCTCGTACTTCGCTCGTTAAAGTTTAATGAGACCACGTTAATTACTATTACGCACCGTCGTGCATAATAAAAGAAAGCGATTCAGCCCCCTGCTTTTGTATGTAAATCGACAAAGGCTTTGGGAAGATGATATAAAGCGAGAGCCTGAAACGCGAGTAATGAAATAGAATGGATTCACGATAAAAGTCGCTCTCTTTACTTTATTTTCATATTATAAACAGATTTATAAAAATATTATACCTGCGAAACGAGATTACTAAAATAAACTCTGAACTTTACGAACGAAGAGGGTAAATTCGCTTTCTTTTTTTGTTCTCTATAGATACAGCGGAAGAGGAGCAAAGAGGAAGACGCGATTCTACAACTCTAATAACGGAGAGACGTTTCATTTTCGGAGCGTAAGAATTGTTCGGGACAGATGTGACATCCCGAGCACGTCCAATTCACTGTTCCACCAGCGAGATAGTTTACTTTTAACCAGATTGTCTATTCTACTTTCGTTCCGTCGAGAGTAATCAACGCCGCTTTTCCGGCTGTACATATACCAATTCGTATAAAAAATATCTCTATTTCTTGGCACAATCGCAATCTCCGTTCGCACCATGCTCGTGTAACAATGCACTTTGTCGATGAACTCTAAATTGCTCCTACTTGTTTTATCAAACTGCCCTATTGTTTGACGCTTTTTCCCTTATTCAAGTTAGGGTATGTAATCACATCACATATATTTATCAACCTTCATATATAAATAGAAGCACCCTTGCCTGGATTTTTTTTCTCCAAGTTATATGTGCATAAATAAGACTCTCAGAAGTGTATTGTTCGATCAGTAATGTTACATACAGTCCGCTGTCAATTTTGAAAAATCTAATAATTGTTTACTGCTCTAAATGTCTTATTTGTTGAAAAGAATGACTTTTGTCAAGATTAGTGATATAAATGTCTGTAATTCGCTTGTAGAATTTAATTTTTTAAATTTCGCACATTGTGTGAAAAAGCGAAGTTTCCTCGATTGCAATATTTGCAATATCGAATTATAATGTAACTTGCGTTTAAGTCGAGCATTTGTGTTTGGTAGTTTTTACAATCGTGGGTAAACCGTGCCGTTAATTATACTATATGCCTGAGAAATACGTAGTATTGATCATCGAATAACAATTTGTAAACATTAGCAGGAACGATGAGCCCGTCGTAACTCGACGAAATGAGCGGTCGTTCGAAATTTTATTACACGAGATTTTCATCTATATTTATGTAATAAAATTGGCAAAATGCGACGTCTCGTGTTACCGAGATCCTTCATGGCAGCGTTTCTTACTTTTATTGCTATCAGCGTGTCTCAAATTACCGATCACCGTTGCTTATTCGCCAATAACGTCTATAATACGACGACGCTTCACGTAGCGCAAATCGCTTCTCTTATACCAGATTAATTGGAGCGGAATATTTTTGCAAAAAAAAAAGTACACTGCGGAGCTAGTTGACCGTACTCCGTTCTTTTCATAACTCATGATAAAATTAAGAGATTAACGTATGCACGCGAAGAGAAGCCAGACTTGATTTTCTTTCCGTTTGTAAAAGAGACAACGCGACGAGACGAACGTTCTGAAATCGTCGAGGAGAATTCGAATATTTCAAACGGACCCTCCCTCGATTCCGCGAGTTCCTCAAATTTTTTTCCCTTGACGATCTCTACCTCGAATTTGCATCCGCGTTTCTTTTTCGCACGCAGCTAGAAAGGCATTTTTGTTTCGTCTCTTATTACTTTCGCCTGCAAAAGTAATGATATATTTATATAATTACAGTATATCCTCTTAACAGGTCTATTCTGTAAACTTTTGCTCTATAAGCTTTTAGCTTCTTTTTCTTTTCGCTCTAAAATGTTAGTGTAATCGCGAAACGTAGCTCACAGAGACACAGCGTTACAGAGCACTTTTACAGAATAGATCCATAACTATATGCAAGTGTTCTCGTGTTATCGATTCACGATTGATTCTTATGTTCAAAGACAGCTGTGTCGACGTGAAAAATGAACGCACCCTGCATATCCGATTAATAATTGAGTTAGTGTAATCGCGAAACTCTTCGTATAAACGGGGAACAGCTTCGTACGGTAATTACGAGGATGCTTAATACGTGTCTTCGGATTATGCATTGATTAATATCACACTTTAAACTACGGACAAGTATCTCTCGCTTATTGTTAGCCTAAGAAACCCGTTAACCAGCAAAACGATACACCGCTTTCGTATCAAAACAGTAACGTGTATCCCCACGTTCCTCAAATACTGAGAAATAATACTATTAAATATCGCTCCTTAAATCATATTTACGTCTATCAGAATTTCCAATAACTATCACAATTAAATAAGAGCATTTATTTGGGCGAATGCACGTAGAAACAAAATTATTCATGATTTAAGAAAAATATTAATTACAACAGTAAACTAAGAGCGTGAAAATTCTGCGGTTTTCAATTATTTCAAGACGTAAAAAAATCTGCAATATTAGTATTATATTGATTGCAATATCTAAGAGATATCGTTGAAATACTTGAATACATCTTTGTATTTATACACAAAACCTCAAGGCAGGACAAAGGAAAAAAAAAGAAAGTTGCGCGCATCGTTTTGCTCGGTTCAGATGCAGATACAAAGTCAATATAAACCAACAGGACAGATATAGTAGATAATACGGCGAGGAAACGGTTGACGCTCTAAAAACGGCAATAGACAGAACTGATTATTATTTCTCGGACAGTTAGTGCAATCGAGACAGGTGGCACATGGAAGTTGTTCATAGAAAACAGCGGAGAATACCAATGGGAACCAGTCGTGACCCGCGCGATCATCGCTCGCAATTGGCACATAAATTCGATTTTATAAAGTAACTTGGAACACATGGAACGATTCTTACTACTTCGAACTATGGAATAATTGTTCTGTAAAGCTCGAGATTTTATTAAGCGAGACTTTAACTGTTGGTTAGTCCTCGAACCATTGCAATTTAACAGTATATTTGCTTCGATCGGGCTGGATTTGACTAGTCCCCACAAATCGCCGATCTCTTTTACGTCTTCACACATATTAAATTAACTGTTGCGTTAGAACCACGTGCTTACGATGAAAAATATTGAAAGTGCGTTGTTATATATGTTATATATAACATACATGTCTATAAGTATTGCCCAAAATATGTATTTTATATTGTATATATATATTGTATATATATATGTAAAAGGATTGTTAAGTTGATATGTCATCGAAGTCATATACTATGTGTATCACAGAGCTGTGATTGAGAGAGTTATCGCAACAGCTTTAATTTCCCCTTTTCTTTTTCCTTCTCTCCCCCGTTCTCCGCTCTTGTTCTCGGTTTTCTAAACCATCGAGTTTACCTATTGAAATTTTGTTTTCGTCACACGATAAACATCGTTCGAAACAGTTTGGAAGGAGAGCAATGTCTGAGGATCCGAACCCTCGATTTGAAATTCAAGTTTCATTTGTACACACATGCGCCTTGTTTAATTAGATTTTTCTCGTACTCGTAAGAAGTGTTTCTTTTTTGTTATCAGAAAACTATTTTGCTAGAAATCGTTTCTTCATGTTGTCCGTTTCCCTTGGAAGCTTCAGTATAAACTACGATTCGTTTTCTCATTCGTTTTTGTTTTTTGTCGTTTCGAAGACACCAATAAATGTTTTTGGTCCCTATACGTACATTTAAATACAAGCGCATCCTGTCGCGCAATCGAAACATTTGAGAAAACATTAATCGCGCAGGGCAAACTCTCCCAGAATATATCAAAAAGTATATCTATCGCTTCTCCGCGTATTAAACGTGCCGCGCTATTACTGGAGTACGAATTAAGTCTAATCACAATCCTTAGAAATTAGCGTTAGTAATCCTTTAGTTTTTGGTCTCGCTTCTAACTTACGCCTAGATATTGTCTCGTTGAAAACAAAATTTCGCGTGAAACCAACAAGCTCGTATTTTCCACTTTCTACACCTCCTACGTTTTCTTCTCTTTTCCACGTGATACGTGACGTGATACCTCTAAATCGTCGACTTGTTCGCATAGATTATTATTCATATTATCACATGTACCGAACTGCATTTAATTGCATCGTAAGATGATTCGTAATGAAAAGCTGATTTCTTGTAATGTCAAAGGTATTTCGAGCAAGGGAGAAAATACCTCCTCTTTCTTCTCTTATCATACGGATAGTCACGAATACATTTTATGTATTCTTATTTATCGCATTAAAAAATCACGTCCAAATTATTAATCCTCAAAATGCATCTATCAAATTACGAAGAAATCAAGATTCAGGTACAGATACAATTAACTCATATACATACTAAACGATCGTAAAAATTAATTACATCGATTTAAAAGGTATCTCTTAAATCAAATATATCTCTCGGTACTGTAGAAAAATCGTATTTACAAATAATATTATTAGAACGTACAAAGACACATGTATCCGCTTTCAAATCTCCGTGGATCCTTCGTAAATCCACTTCGCGATGCACTTTTAAAAGTGAACGCGTGTATAACTCGAATTCATGTAACCGCATCGTATTAAACGCCTATATGTAAGCTCGTGTAAGAATAGCTCGCTTAAAAAATAGAAATGGTATAAATCTGCAAAAATTCCGATCTTAGACGACGAGAGTCAATCGTTCGTATTGTTTACGATTAAATTGCGAGTGTTAGTTTCAATGTCACCAATTATGTTTGGCTGGTAGATATTATAGTCGGATACAAGTATTTACAATTCGGTAAAAATGGAGCATTACTCGCGTCAATTCCATCTTTTTCTGTCAATCTTTACCCCTCGTCAATTCCTTAATTTAATAATTCCTTAACCCCTCAAACCCGTCTAATATACAATATGTGCGCCATAAAATGTTCTCAATAATTACACAATTGAAAAGATAAAATAATATACATGAAGCTTGAATCATACAAACTAAAAATTAGTTAAATATATAAACTTATATGCAAATAAATTATATACAGTAGCCTTTTTTCTTATATATAAATGTAATATTAATAATTTTTTATACATAATTTTGCTACTTAAAAAAATAATCGTTTTTTCATCAATCTTAATCTGTACACGAATTTGGTATGAGGGGTTAATTAGCAATAATAGCCGCCAAAATGGCCGTAACTTATTTACTAATCAACAACGTCAATTCGTCAATATTAATCCACCAATTCTGTAACGGGCCATAATACAAGTGCTTTTTTTATAACGATCCATTTATGGTCTCGTATGAATTAGTTTTATCAACTTTAGCCGCATTTCCCGTTGCATTACCTGATCATACACAATCGGAGATCGAAGCAATCTGACTATTGAATATGATTCGTTTTACTGCTATTCTCAGTCAATTAGTAATGAGCAAGATACTTGAAAAGGCAAGCACCAATTTCATAAATATTTCATCAATATTTTACTTGTAATATTCATCAAGAAAGTTGATTCCAAAAAAAGAACACGAGAGATTATCCTTCAAAATAAATTTAGCTTGTAGCTTCCACAGATTTATAGTTGTATAGATTATTTAGTGATCACAGATGAGCTATATATTGACACTGACATTGATACTGATGCGGATAAATGCAAAAAGAACATCATATAACTAAAAGTTCAGCAAAATAATTCAGTTTTCAAATGACAACTGAAAGAAACGCGACGAAAACTGAAATACTTGTACGTACCTGTTTTCACATACTTTTTACATAATTCAACGAGTTAAATGCGCTAAAACAAAATGGTTCACAAGAAATTCGTCTTATCACAACCAAATTGAGCGATTCTTCGTTAAGAAAAAACAACCGCGGAGGGTGTGGTATTCTCCTTCCGAAATCAAGAGACCATAAACAAAAAGACTGATTTTGCACAGAGATTTTCGCATATGCATGCACGACGTAAGGGCCCCCGTGGTGGAATTTAGATTGACTTCCACTGCGGCTTGTGGGGACCCCCCCTTTTGTGTCAGGGACCCCCTCTAGGAATCCACAGTGCTTTGCTTTGTTCCTCGTCTACCGAGGCTTTCACCTGCGTGCATATATATGCCACATTCACGCCTGCCGGGATCACGGCTAAAATATTGTTAAAACATACGTTATAAACTTTAATTGACTCATTAATTTACAGCATAGTGACATTTTAATCATTCCTGATTTTCATTGCAACAGATCCATACTTTCGGAATTAAAATAAGAACGAGAATATTACGAGTAGCCGAAAATACGTGAAATACGTCCAGCTGATTTGTTACAGTACGTGTCATTAAAATAACAGATAAACTGTGTGTATTTTTTTACGTATGCAAGTAAGATTAGACACAATTTACTTACCGGAAATGTAATGCTTGTACTCCGCTTCGATTTTGAGCGCCTGTTCGAACATCTCTTTCGCAGCCTTTGTACTGATTTTGTCGCTTGGATATCTCGAGTCCTTTACTTCCTTAATTTGCGCCCTATCCTTGAATTTGATTAACAGGACGATAGGGTAAATTTGATGTCTGTGGAGCCTCTCGATGGAAGCTATCGACACCTCCAAAATACAGTGCGTATTCTGCAACGGATACAATATAAATAAATGTCGGTAAACTTTAACAAATATCTATTACTCTTTGTTGCACAAACTGACACCTATGGCGATATTACCATATGGTTCTTCCATTATTGATTGTTATTCAACAATACTATTTATTCATTTACCTTCTCACATATATCTTTAACGGCCTGCACCGTCGTGCACTCGAAGTAGCTGCCCTTTTTCCTATAATCTATGTAGAGCGAGTCACGCAATCCTTGCTCCAAAGTCGATTGCGAGCAATGCATCGCCTCCGCCAAACATCTAGTGAACTGTCCCGGGTATTCCTGTAAAAGTTTCGTCACCACGCACTCGCTGAGCGGACCGATGATCAACACGGGTCTCAGAGTGGGATCTATTGTTAAAGACACATAAAACTATCATTATACACGTTTGTATCCGAAGGCCTGTTATAAACAGCCTGACAATCGCTTTAACATTAAGAATTACAGTTCGCGATACGTACAATCCAGTCTCTCGACGCGCTGATAACTCGCCGGAAGATTATCTTCGTTCAACGTCCCACTGTCGCTGTACCAGCCTAAATTGACTCCCGTCAGATGCGACATTTCCTTACAACTGTCCCTACTGCTGGACGACCGTTGCTGCTGTTTCTTCCGACGGAAGAAACTTCTCCTCGCGCGGGTATCGCTGCGTTTGCCAGTGTCTTGTTCCAAATCACCCAGCGACCGTCGTAGGAGCAATTCTTCTTCGACCCTGAGACAGACAAGTCATAAAATAATGGTTATCAATCGTGTTCTATCTGTTTTCATTTGTATTATCGTTCACCGCTAAATGTGACCTACTTAAATTTGCTGGGAATTATCCCGCAAGTCTGCCTACGACCGGTCTGATCGACTATCCAGGCGCGCCAGTGGCCCGGCGTGCCGTTGAACATGGTATTGTCCACGTACAGGATGTCGTCCTTGCTGAACCGCAGCTGCAGGCTGTCGCCCACTTCGCCGGTTCGATCGAACAACGCCTTCACGTAGAAACTGTCGCCCGGCTTGTCCTTGACCTCGTTATACCGCTCCAGCATATACTGGGCGACTAACGTCACCTTGTCCGCCGGTCGGGCCAGCTCGAGCGCCGCTTGCTCGGCGGTCGCCTGCCTCAGGTCCACGCCGTTGTACTCGAGGATCCTGTCCCCGGCAAATAGGCCGGCCTCCTCGGCGAGACAGCCCGGCTGAACGGAGTGCACGAAGATACCGACGCCGTTGCCGCCTACCAGCGATATACCAAGATTCGAGCACTTTCTGGTCTCGATCAGCAGGTACCGCGGCTCACCGCTCGGCGGCGGCTTCCTCTGCTCCTCCTGCGTGGGGCTCCTCATCGCGTTCTGTCGCAGCATCTGCGCGCGATTCAATCGGTCCAGCGTGGCGGCGCTGCGAAGCTCCGGCTTGCGGATGTTGAACGAGTCGTCCAACGACGCGGACGGCCTCATCTCGCGTTCCCGCTCCTGCGTGCTTCTCACCTCCAGCGAGGCGGACGGCCGCATGTCCCGCTCGACGCGTAGCGTGCTCATGGTGGGCACGGCGGTGGTGGTGACGGTAGGAGCGGTGGTGGCGATGGTGATGGTGGCGTCGCGTTCCGGTGGCTCGGCGGGCTCCAGCGTCTCCACTGCGCTCTTGCGCGGCGCCTCCGGGCTGTTGCACGGTGTCGGCGAGCCGCTGCGGCTTCCGGTTGCGGCTCCGTCGCCAGCTTCCGACGAGCTCGAGGACCCCGAGCCCTCTAGCTCGGTGTATTCTTGCAAAGAAAAATGTAAGTTTTTAAATCCTATTTAAAAACTTACCCCCACAACGTCAAAACTAAAAGAGTAAAGACAGTATCCTGAAAAATTACAATGAAAAGATTCAGTTCAGACCTTCGCATTATCGGCTGACGGAGGAGGAATTGAGGAAGAAAGACGGAGAAAGGGCGCACAAGTCATGCCTGTTGAGATAAAGAAAGCATGCTGCGGATGTTCGAAAGGTGTGCTGTTTCTTTTTTGTTTCAAGGATCGCATTATGTTCTCTTTGTGCAAAAAAGACTACTCACTGTCCGGGCTATACTGCACCAGCATTGTAATCGAGTTACCACACTGACGTAGAACGTTGGCGGCCAGCTGATAGGTCGCGCTCCGCATATTTATACCGCAGACCTCGAGCAGCTGGTCACCGATCTGCAGGCCAACCTGTGACGCTAGGCTGTGCTCGTACACAGTGGAAACGAAGACGCCGCCGCTCTCGAGGCAGGAGATCTGGATTCCCAGCGGCTCCACGGACTTGTCTATGTGGACCCGGCGCAGTTCCCCGGGCGCCGGGCGCGGCTGCGCGGAGTAACAGTAATCCGGCATGCTGGCGCGCTTGTTGCTACCGCTGCCGCTTCCGCGGACGGTGCCGCCGCTGCTACCGATCCCGCTGGTGCTGCCGGTACCCGGGCTGAGCACTTCCACGTGAAACGTCGGCATCGGGCTGCCGCGCTCGGAGGTCCTTTCTATACTGCCGGTGGACAACTTGCCGACGCTGCTCTTGGACGTGACGCTGGTGTTGGACGGTATACGGATGCGCTGGTCCTCCTTCCGACCCGGCAGCGTGCCGCCCTCGTATCCGTGGCCGTAGATGGACGTGTCGCATGGTATACCGAGCGGGAGCGGGAGTGCGCGTGGCTTGTGATAGTGCAGATCTACGGAGGGCGTGTGCAGGTGGCCGTAAGCGGTCGGGGTCGTCTGCGGGGGCCCGGGGCTGTACGGGGGCTCGAAACAGTAGGTGCGCGTGTCAGGCAGGCCTATGGACTCGCCGGACTGTGCGGACGGCAGCGACGGCGGCGAAGGATAGCGCGAGGGCAGGGAGTTCTGGTGCTGCGTGGGATGCGGATGCAGATGATGCAGGTGCGACGGCGGCGCGGTAGGCACGTACGGATGATGCGTGGGAAACGGAAAGTTACCGGGTGCCATTTGCTGTCGCGACGTCGGCCCGCTGGTGGTCGACGCGGCGGACGTGGACGAGCCACCGATGCCCGACGAGTAGAGCTGCGAGTGCACGCGATTGTGCTGCAACGTGTCCGTCGTCACCTGCGTGTCGCTACTACTGCCGACCCCGTACTTTTGCATCCGTTTGTTCACGAAGTACGAGTCGACGTCGCGGCCGTCGCGGCCGGCACCGCCGGACTTGACCGAGAAGTCGATGCTGGTCTCGGACGGCGCCAGCGCGGAGCCGAGTCGTCCGGTTTCCGACGTGCTGCTCTCGAACTCCGTCGACGGCGGCTTCTTACCGCCGCCGTCGAGCGGGACGTCCTTGAACTGCACCGCCGGCGTGACGAACGACTGCTTCTGGCTAAAGAGCTGCCCGGTCTTGGTGAAGCTCGGTAGCGGGCTCTCCACTGCTTTGTAAACGGTATGACGATTATTCACATTGGAAAAGTTGGTCAGGGGGATGGGGTTTGAGATGCGATTGTAATTATAGTTATCGTATTTTGGTGGGTGCAGGAGTACACTGAGGGGGAAACGTTCTTTCGATTTGCGCGGGTGCAATATAGTACCGGTCCCATTTTGTATGAGGGGTCCGCCGCGCGCCTTCGGCCACGTGCCGCCGTTCTTCTCGACTTTCTCGGTGCCGCGGCGCTTGCTGCGCTTCAGCACGCCGTTGTTGCTGTTGCTCGCCTTCTTGTGGTAGCTCTCGATCACCGAGTCCAGCTCCGCTATCGCGTCCTGCTCCTGTTCGAACGTGTTCGGGCTCGAGTTGCGGTGGCCCTTCTTCTTGCTGTCGTCGCGCTCCTTGCTGTGCTTGCGGCCGCGCACTATGTCGATCTTCTCCCGGAAGTTGTCCCATGCGTTACTAATCCCGCTCGACTTCTCCCCGCTCACGGACTTGGCGGCCTTGTAGACGTTGCGGTCGGCAAAGTTTGTCGACAGATATCGCCTCTCGTAGTCGTCCGACGAGGCTTTCAGCATCATTCTCTCCTGCTCGGTCTGCGAGCAGCTGTTGACCATCTTTTGCTTCTCCGCGACAAAACTGCCGTCTATCGTCTCCGAACTCGCGGCGGAGGGTACCGGAATACCTTTCAACGTCGTGATTGTCAATACGTCTACAGTGTCGTCGTTTAGAATCGCCATCGCTTCGTGCACCGTAGTTATGGTATCCATGGGTTTACTATTAATCTGAAAGTAAATATAAAAAGTTAAAATACAATCTTTTTTTATTTTAAATGGAAAAACCCTTTTGCAGAATACAAATATTGATTTATGAATCACAAACATAGGCGTAACGAGTCCTCTCGTGTACTTACATTTAACACTCTATCTCCCACGGCGAGGTTTCCATCCTTGGCGGCCAAGCTGCCGGGCGATATTTTCGAGATGTAGATTCCAAGCTCTAGAGTGATACCGTGTGGCACTGTGCCGACCGACAGCTGCGTGGTTCTCAATGATCGCCTGGTGATGCGACGCCGCTTCACGATCAGCGTTGCCGGATTCACAGTGGACGAGCGCAGAGTTTCCAGGATCACGCGGGTTGACACGGACGTGCAGTCGACGTTGTTCACTCGCACAATGCAATCGTTGACCCGTAGTTTGCCGTCGAGGGCGCTACCCTGCGTCACCTGCGCTACGTAAACGCCGGTGTCGTTCGGATAGTACGGGCTGTCGCGGCCACCGACGAGGATCAGCCCCAGGTCACCGCGATCCGAATCCAGGCAGACTCTGCCGGGCTCGACATGAATCGGAATCATTTCCCAGTCGTTGCTCTCGTCGATCTGCGCCAGCTGGCTGGTTCGCAACGTGTGGTCGCCGAACTCGATCTTCTCCTTTAGATCCTTGAGCTCCTTCGACGCCTCGTTTCGCTGCTTCTTGATGTCGTCGGAATCGCGCAGAGCGCCGGCCAATTCGGAGACCGCGCGGTCGCGCTCCTTCCGTAATCGGTCGCACAGAGTTCTTATGCTCTCCCGCTCCAGCACTATCTTGTCGCGCTCGCTGAACGCCCAGTCTCGCCTCCTCTTCGACACCTCGGCCTCCTGAATCGCCTCCTCGAGCTCCGTCTGAAGCGTGTCCACGGATTTCCTGAGTTTATCCAACTCCAAATTAGCCTGCTCCAAGTTATCCATGCGTTGCTTGTCCCGCGTCGCGTCTTTCGGGTTGGCCTCCTTCTCGGCCTCCTTGCTGACGCTGTCGCGTTCGTGAGTGAGAGAGTTCAGCTCCAGACGATGAATGTAGTCTCTGCTGGCGCCTTCGGAGTAATCGCCGAATTTCTGCCGTAACTCGTTGCACACCTTCAGAGCGTCGTCTCTGTCTTGCAGGGCAGAAGAGATCTCCCTCTTCAGTGTCTCGATTTGATAAGACAACGTTTTCTTCTGCAAAGAAACGACGTCGATGTAACAGATCGTATATACCAACGTATAACATGTCGATCCGCTCTGACGAAACGATAGAAAAAACATCGGCAGTTTCGAATTTCTTACAACGGTTCACGAGAATAAGATTAGTTAACTTTGAAAATCAAACTCGTGTGATACAGGCGCAAATAGTTGTAATCATTACAACCCATTCTCTTTATCTCGACACTTTCCTTTCAGTACTGCATTACGCGCAACTCGTATGAGTATCGACAGCGACAGGCTCAACTGGCGTACTTGACAAAAGCTACTGATAATCGCTTAAACGACAGCTTTCAACTTAGTTGAACAATAATTTGTTTCAGGTCCCTCGCTTTACAACCGCTTGCGACACGATATCGATATCGGCCAAACGTTTTAACGTCGAAATGACGTTAGAGGAGTGTGTCAATACCGCTGAAATGTCACGGTACAAATTCATTACGAGGAAAGGCAACAAGAAATATACATTCTACCAAAGAAGAACAAAAACAACACCGCTCTGGAGTCACGCTGGCTAGCATATTATTCCTACTTTATTCGGTAAAATAGAGTTGGCAGACGAGATGAGCATCGGGCGTAAGCCTAGATAGACTCGGGTGCTTTCCAGCAAGAGACACAGATTGACACAGTGTAATACAGAGAATCATTTCATCCTCGTTTAATAATGACGAACAACAAAGATGAAACGATCCACTGTGTTACACAGTGTGTCGCCTGTGTACGTTGCTGGAAAGCACCCTCAGTAGCCAGAGTAGTCGCCCAACAAGCGGAAGGTCTCACCATAGTCTCACCGGTATGTTCGCTCCGTCATTTGTTTGGTTTTGCGTCGATTCTTTCTGCGCATCCGTCATTATTTTGGCCAGACCAATGAGAGAAAAGTTGTATGTGTGGTAGTACACGCGCCGCTGGAGCCTGGCCAAAACCTGGCGAAGTACCACGTGACCGAAAAGATCAAAGGGCCGATAGAAAGTGAACATACCAGTCACACTATGGTCTCACGTTCAAATCCTGGTCTAGTCCGTTTTTTTTTTTCGGTCAAAAGTTGGTTACGCGTGTCTTAGTGTTCTCCCCGAAGATACACGACTATTTATTATCACACACCGTTATCTCGCGTACATCGATTACTCAGTTCATTACCTCGTCGACGAGCTGCTTGTTCTGCGTTTCCAGATGCGTGACTTTGGTGTACGCCTGCGTGAGGTCGTCGCCCAGTTTCTCGATCTCCTTGTGCACCGTGTCCCGCTCCCCCATGATCAAGCTGTACTCCTGCAGGGCGGCGTTCCGTTCCTCCGTGAGACGTTTCATATCCTTGCTGGCCTTCATGCGCAGCATCATCGCCTGGTTGATCTCCTTGACCGCCTCCTCGTGCTGCTGCTGCACCTTGGCGAGCGCTTCGCGATACTCGTTTCTCTCCCTCAGCGCGATGTCCCACTGGCGAATCGCAGCGGTGCACTGCTGCTTCAAACCGTTGCGCTCGCGAAGCACGCTGTTACGCTCCTCTAGAACGCTGTCGTATTGCTTCTTCAGCCTCTTGGCGTCCTCTTGCGATAACTCTAGCTGTATCGATCACGGGGGCAATTTTGCATTAGGTTTTCAATGCGCAGAAAAATATGCGCGCGACAACGCGCGTTGCAGGAATAACAACGCTTATCGACTACTTGCCTTATTGACGGCGGAGGAATGAGACGCTATCAGGTCGTCGTATCGTTTCCTGAGGGAATCGTATTCGTCCTTAACGGCCTCGTACTTTCGCAGCGCGGAGAGATAGTGCTGATTCATAGTATCGTTGCCCGCGGCATCGGTGACCAGGACCTCCTGGTTCTGCATGCGCTGCAATTCCGAGAGTTCCTTCTGGAGCGACTGGACCTCCCGGTCCAATCGTTGCTTGTCATTCGCCAGATCGCCATATTTCGCTCGTAAGGAAGAGCTCTCTTGCGACGTAGCCTCCAGCTGATTCATGACTGCTATGTGTTGCCCCCGATAGTACTCCAATTCTTTCATAGTAATCTCACACCTGTTTTTCAGATACTTTCTCTTTTTACTTTGCAGATGATTTAATATTAGCCTGAAAGTGAAGTTATAAGCGTGATAGAAAAACGTGAGGTGCGTGTATGTACACGATTGAAAGAAAAAATATTAAAAAAAAAACGAGAGAGAGGTGGCGAGAAAGGAATGAGAGAAAGAAAGGGACAGAGTGCGGGGCAGCAAGACCAAGGTAGAACAAAATCAAAACAAACCGTCTTATGGTATCGGAGTGCTTATGCCTAAGTAGCTGAAGCTGATGCATCGCCTGATCACACTGAGCCTGCAAACCGTCGTAGTCGCTACGACACTCGGGGCCGCCAACCGGACTTCCAACACTGCCATAGCTTCCGCTATCCCCCTCTGGTTTTATGCGACAAGTGCCAATTCCAATGGTAAAAACGTAATCGGAAAAATAATCGATGTAGTCCAACGTAAGACGTAAAATGCACGTGCGTGTGAAGAAAGTGGGGCGCGTTTAACTTTTGTGCAAACGTAACTTGTGACAACGGGTACAGACTGAGTTACGGGGGCCGTTTCGAAGAGTAAGGGACAACAAGCTACACTGGTGCGTGCACCAATTGTTTCGATCTATCTCAAGCATTACCACAAATAATGCGAACAGTAGGTAACAACACGGAGTGTGCCTATTGAAGATGTGACGTACACGAATAGGTCTATATATGCACATGTATTTTTGTAGCGCCCGTTTAAAAATATCTCTTACCCATGTTGAGTGCACCATCTGGAAAAATTAATTATAAACACCTGTATTACTTGGAGATGTACAGAGGGTGGGAGGGAGGGAGAGAGGGGCGCGAACGAAGAGGGGGCGTCGGGTAAAAAACGAGGTAAAAGTGCGAAAATTCTGGTCCGAGCGGCGCGTTAAATTTCACAATCGAATTTAAAAGTCCGATACGCTTGTTACAGTAGAGGGAACAGCATAATCGCCGGCTTTCACCAGGAAAGAAACTCCTAGGTCACGCATGTAAGCATAGTGATTCATTGTTCGCCTCGGCTAACGAAATTGTATCGGCGGTACTTCGTCGTTGCGAGCAATCTGACGCGATGTCTATTAGCGAATTCGGTTGCTCCGCATTAGTGCACGCTGAGCGCGCACTAAGGCCCGGTTTCACCGACGTCGCTTAACTTTAATCCCAGTTTAATTCATTCTTTGTTTCTCTTTTCTTTTCTCTTTCCAAGGGGACCGTTAGAAAGAGACGAGGGGTGAATTAAACTAAGGTCTAAAGTTAAACGACGTTGGTGAAACCGGGCCTAAAGCCCGTATCAGACTACGGATTGAGATTGGGATTAGATTGAAATTTGACCAATCAGAGTAGTTTACTAATCTCAAGTTCAGTAACTTTTACTCTGATTGGTCAAATTTCCATCTAATCCCAATCCCAATCCGTAGTCTGATACGGGCCTAAGGCTTTTGTGCGATTCATTCTTGTGTTTAAGGGTCGTCTTAAACATCTGTTGAAGTATTTTTCAGTACAACGATCTGCAGCAACCGTACGAATTATTTTTTGGGTTACTGTAAGACGAGCTTAAATATAAGAATTGACTACGAACAAGCCTCGAGCCCGTATCAGACTACGAATTGAGATTGAGATTAGATTGAAATTTGACCGGTCAGAGTAAAGCCCGTATCAGACTACGGATTGGGATTAGATTGAAATTTAACCAATCACAGTAAAGTTTACTAATCTCAAGTTCAGTAACTTTTACTCTGATTGGTCAAACTTCAATCTAATCCCAATCTCAATCCGTAGTCTGATACGGGCTTAAAGTTTACTAATCTCAAGTTTAGTGACTCTTACTCTCATTGGTCAAATTCCAATCTAATCTCAATCTCAATCCGTAGTCTGATACGGGCTTAAAGACCAAATCAGACTAGCAATTGCTGACTCGGATTGGACTGGGATTGGGATTGGCGATTGACGATTGTCTTCTAGCCAATGAGAGCCGACTAAATCGCTGACTGCTTTGCTCTTCGGCCTTAAGCCCGTATCAGACTATGAATTGAGATTAAGATTAGATTGAAATTTGACTAATTAAAGTAAAGTTCACTAAACTTTACTCTGATCAAATTTCAATCTAATCTCAATCTCAATCCGTAGTCTGACACGGGCTTTAAAGGCCGAATCAGACTAGCAATTGCTGACTCGGATTGGATTGGGATTGGCGATTGTTTTCTAGCCAATGAGAGCCGACTAAATTGCTGACTACTTTGCTCTTCGGCCTTAAGCCCGTATCAGACTATGAATTGAGATTAAATTGAAATTTGACTAATTAAAGTAAAGTTCACTAAACTTTACTCTGACTGATCAAACTTCAATCTAATCTCAATCTCAATACGGGCTTTAAGGCTTGTCTACAGTCAATTCTTAGATTTAAGGATTATTTTAAATACCGCTTAAAGACTTCTTAACCAGTGAAACGATCTGCATCTGTAGAAATGACTTTTGGGCTAAATACTCTTTCAACGTGTATTTAGGACAAATATAAAAATTGCCTATAAACAAGTCTTAGTGTGCACACTAGTGCAACCAACCGAATTCGCTATATAATGTCTGACATCCGCAACATTACGTCCCCATTGAATTCGGTATTTCATTGGGTTTATCGAGAACAATCCAGCTACCTTCCCTAGGAGCTGCAAGAACGGTCCCTTCAGCGAACGACGAAATTACATCGGAAAGTAAATAAGAATCGCAGTCGCATATCGAGTACAATATCTGCTTCTGAAAATATTGTTCCACGAGGCCTGCACATCTCGTCGTGAGGAGAGACTCGCCGCGCCGCGTTTAATTCCCCGATAAAAATATTTCTGCTGCTGCTGCTGCGGCGGCGGCGGCGCCGAGGACGACGACGCGTCGTCCTGACGTCGCAATTAAAAATACAATGACGCGCTGACGTGAACGCGGCGCGGCGCGGCGGAGGGGGACATTATCGAGCGCCGTGCCCGTTCTCTCCGCGGACAAAAAAGAAGTTGAAAATAAAAGCTGTCACTCACCACTGCTCTCGGCACTGTCCAAGGAGGATGCGCCAGAAGCCATTCTAGCCAGCGATGGATCTCAGGGCGCCGCGGGGTGAGAGGAGGGCCGTAGGCGCCGTGTTTACGTATCTGCGTGCGTGTACGTACACGCGTGCACGTGCACCCGCGCGCGCACGCGCGCGCGCGAGACGCGGATCCGCCGTCTCGTATCAACACAGCCGCCTGTCCTCGTGCGCCAGCGGCGAGCTCCGTAGCGGCAGGTACCGCCTGGAAAAGCGTGCTGTGTACTAGCCGTGCTTCACGGAAGAGCGAGCCCTTTGTAAATTACTGAGGGGCAGCCTTCGGGGGATGACATTATGGCCACTGTACGCGCGCGCGCGCGCACGTTTGTACGTGTGCATGTATGGATGAGTCTGCGTGTGTATGTGTGTGTGTGTGTGTCACGCTGCAGCGGTGTGTACATCGAGGCCGCGTATTATCGGGGAAAAGATACTACCAGGGGAGACAGATATTGCACCTGACGATGCGCGCGCGCGCGCCCACGGATGTACGAACGTAACGTTACTCCGACGCATGTGTACACACCTCCTCCTGCTCTTCCGCCACCGCCTCGTCCCGTGGTCGCCGCCGACGTCTACGTCTACACGCCGATACACAGACACACGTCGCGCGTACCGTCCGAGGGATTTTCTATGCATCACTTCTCGCCCGCGCGAACGAGTGCGCGCCTAGCAGTACACAGGGAGAACGTAGCGGAGGAGCGACGGGGAGGGCGGCGGAGCGGAGGGAGAGAGGATCCGCGCGCACAACCGCGCGACCGACACGCACGCTGGCGACGTATGTTTTACGCGAGCGGCGCCCGGGAGATTAATCTACGCGCCAGCATCCGCGACGACGGCGACGGCGGCAGCGGCGCGTCCCGGTGATTTCCTTCCCGAACTTGTTGACTCGGTCGACATCGTCCCCTTCTCCTTCCTTCTCCCGTCATCGGTCCCACCGATTCCCCATCGAGGCTCGGCACTCCCGACGGAGAACTCTCGACTTTTAACGCTCGCGAAAGTACCTGCCCGTCGCTCGTCGCGCTCGCGCGCGAGTCATCGGCGGACGTGGGTGGACGCTACGGGGGGCGCTCGTATTATCGGCGCGCAGGAAAGAATTGACCCCCGACGACCGTCGGCGATCATCGTCGGCGACGATCGACGATGACTGACGGCCACGATGACGAATCGCGCGAGGCACCGGGCTTCGCCGCGAGCGGGAGTCGCTTCTGCTCGTTGGCGACGAAGACGATGGCGATGGCGCGCGTAACGCGACGGAAAAATCGCGTGTTCCTCTCGCTCACCTGCTGCACCAACCAGTCTGACAATTAGCCATTTTGGTTCGCCTGGCGCGCGCGCGCGCACGCGTGTGATCTCCCGACGCAGTCCACCACCACCACACGCAGTCCCCGCGTGTCGACGACACGGCACACGACACGCGACGCGAACGACGGAACGCCGACTGCGAGAACTGCGCGAGAAGAAGATTCGCCACTGAACCGCCGCTGTCGAGAGGACCGCCCGACTCCTGCGGCGGATTGGCGCAGCTCGGCAGGCTCACAACTGCACGTCTCGCGGCGCGAGAGTCTCTAGGAAACACACTCTCCTATTGGATATTGGATTTGCGATCAAGCGCTTGTGACTAAAGGCTGGTTTTAAAGAACTGTGTCCAAGTTCTAGTGCCGAGAAATGCGTAGCCAATCACCTTGTAGCTTTTATGGAATAGCTGCAGGTTGATTGGCTACGCATTTCTCGAAACTAGAACTTGGACCAAGTTCTAGCAACGTGGACACAGACCCTAAAGCCTTAAAGGCCAATGTCCACGATGCTAGAACTTGGTCCAAGTTCTAGTTTTGAGAAACGTGTAGCCAATCAACTTGCAGCTTTTATGGAATAGCTGCACGTTGATTGGCTACAGATTTCTCTAAATTAGAACTTGGTCCAAATTTTAGTTCCGGGAAACGTGTGGCCAATCAACGTGCAGCTTTTATGAAATAGCTGCAAGTTGATTGGTTACACATTTCTCGGAACTAGAATTTGGGCCTATGTCCACGATGCTAGAACTTGATCCAAGTTCTAGTTTCGAGAAATGTGTAGCCAATCAACCTGTAGCTATTCCATAAAAGCTGCAAGGTGATTGGCTACGCATTTCTCGGCACTAGAACTTGAATCAAGTTCTTGGATCGTGAACACAAGGCTTTAGAACTTGGTCCAAGTATCGTGGACACAGGCCTTAGGCTGAGTCTACATAGGATGTAGTAAGTCGTGTCGGAAGAAATTGACCAATCACAGTCTATTAGGCTGGGTCTACATTGGATGTCGTAAGTCGTGTCGGAAGAAATTGACCAATCACAGTTCATTATTCTCCTTACGGTCGAAGAATAATGAACTGCGATTGGTCAATTTCTTCCGACACGACTTACGACATCCAATGTAGACCCAGCCTTATTCTCCTTACGATCGAAGAATAATGAATTGTGATTGGTCAATTTCTTCCGACACGACTTACGACATCCAATGTAGACCCAGCCTTAGGGTCTACATTGGATGTCGTAAGTCGTGTCGTAAGAAATTGACCAATCACAGTTCAGTATTCTCCTTACGGTCGAAGAATATTGAACTGTGATTGGTCAATTTCTTCCGACACGACTTACGACATCCAATGTAGACTCAGCCTAAGAAAACGCCAACTTGATCCTACTTGCTGATTGGTCGATCACAGCCGCCATGTTAATCCTACAGTTGCGCGCGCATAGAGGATGTGTTCGAAAATGGATTTAGTTACTGCCAGTGAAAACAGTATAGTTGGTAGCAATGAAAATTACTGGTGCTGCGTTTTTCGCACGCCAGTAAAGTCAATAAGGCTGGGTCTACATTGGATGTCG